GTAATTAATTCAGAAAATCTTTTCAGGACCCCACCTTGATGTTTCGGGACCCCACTTTGGGTCCCGACCCCAACTTTGGGAAACACTGCTTTAGCTTACATGCTCAGTTTGTTTTCTTATGCTACTTTTATCCAAACTTGCTTTTAGGTTTTAGTTAATATTCTGCATTTAACTGTTTTGAATTATCTCACCAGCCATTGTGTTCACTCTGCATTTAAACATAAAATGCATTTTTAGTTACTTACCTTACACGGCTAAAACCAGGAAAGTAAAAACATAGTTCATCAGATCATTAGCTGACACATCCTGGTCCTAAACTCATTTTAAAACACACAATTTAAAAACAAAAGTTTCACAACAACCTGCCATGTGATGGGATTTTAAGTATTTTAATTAAAACAAATGTTTGGCATCAAATTAGCACATGGAAAATAACTTATTACCAATTTATGTTGCATGAAGATTACTGAGCATTCCACCACTGGGTGGGGCTATTGCACATTCGCATTTTTACTAATAACATTGTGTTATAAATGTAATTAATAGTAAATTACAGAAACCATTTTTAAAAACTAGTTTACTTTTGGAAATCCTCTTAAAAGTCTAAACTATATTAAAAAAAACCTTAACAGGCACAAATGGTAAAAGATTAAAATATTTGTCAGTTTTCTTTCCAGACGTTTAGCTGGTTCTTTTTCTGCTTTAATAAGGGCTGTTTCTTTTTCTGGTGATTCATGTTTAAACAGATTCACAGTTTGAAACTGAAGTGTGAAAATAAAAAAAAGACAGCTCACCCTCCCACACAATTACTAAAGAACACCGTGTCTTATTTTAAGGGCGAGGCTCTTCATCTCCTTTTCTTCTTTAAGCTTCTTTAGACTGTAATTACTTCATCAAACAAGTCTGCATTTTTTGGCAAAACCTGGTACACTCCGGATCAAAATCTTAAGACCAGTCAAAAAAGTGCAATAATTTGCATTTTGCACTATTGGATCTTAAGAAGGTTCTAAGTAGAGCTTCAAAATGTTAAAAGAAGAAATCAGTGCAAGAGACAATAACTTTTGAGCAGGGAATTGTCTGAAAACTGCATTTACACTCAAACATGATTTTTTTCAGCTGATCAAAAGTTTGACCGTAGTCTTTAAAAGCCAAAAGCTGTGCAAAAATCTGGATTCCATGTCATTTTCTGTCAAGGCTTTACACTGTCAAG